TTTCAATCTACCCTCGTATGAGAATCATGACATTTGTTCAGACCCACTTGTCACATCCTCTCTTTCATAAATTACCAATAGTTCTATCTGACATTTTTACTATCCAATAGAAAAGCAGAGTTTTAATCTATCAAATGATGTATTATATTATGTTGTTTTCAGTGCAAAGTACGGTACTGTCTATATATTCTTCAGTTTGAAAGTTTACTTTGTGGTGGTCAGATCAAGAAAATTTGGGAATTAGTTTAAGGCTCTTAATGCCATCATTAGAAAGCTAGTTAAATTATGATAGTTATAGGATATTGTTTGCTTTATGCATGTTATGATTATGTGTTCTTAAGTGCATTAATTAATTAAATAATAATTATCTAGTGTCTTTGTACCATTAGTATAACAAAAGTAGGATTAAATGTTACTATATTTATTGTTTTTATGTATCTTTTTTATTATTATAAAAGTAATTGAACTGTAAAAATTAAGAACTTATTAGGTTAGATAATGTTAGATTAGGTAAGATAATAAAAAAAATAACAACAACAATTCTTCATAAAGTATGCTCACAAGCAGCTAGTGTGTTATATCATTCAATACAATAACATAACTTTTTTGCCTAGTGATTTACAAGTTGTGAGGCAGGATTATTGGTTAGACAGGGTTCAAAGGGCAATGGTTCAGTGTCCCTGTATACTTTATATGGTATTTATTCTCCTCTACCATACAGTGTCACTAAATCAGCAAGAGTAAAATGAATAGTTGATAACTTTGACATAAAAAACATAATACCATGTTGAATGGTATTCTGTAAAAGGTCATAGCATGTGCACTTTGACTCCCACACATGCACATATGGTTAATATAAACTTTACTTTTTTTACATATCTTTTTCAGTCTTGCATAAAGCCAAAACTTTGATTTGCATAGATCTGTCATATAGGAATTCAGTACTGAAAGCCATTTACTGGATTCACACTACTACTACTGGGCTTAGTATGACTGCCTGTAACTTTATAGACTTTATATTGATGTAGAAAGTTCTGATTGGTTAGATGACACCAATCACAATATAACCCATCAACACCTGATCATGTTGCTATTAATTTTTATATTACAGAATTCCCATAGCTTTGATATTTTTTTTTTTTTTATAACCATCTTCCTCACTGTTTCCACAAAAATTTCCAAAACTGTACAGGGTGGGGCAAAAGTTACTTTATACTTGGTACTAAAGAATATATTAGTAAATTAATTTAATTACTATGTATCTGAGTAAGATGTTAGAAAATAAAATATGGTCTAAATGAAACAACTGTATGGTCACTTTTGACCCACCCTATATATCTGTAGTTTAAAGGGAAATGTTTTGTTTCAACATTTCATATAAGCAATGCATAAGCTATCAAATATGTGTTAATTTACTATTAGCTTATATCTACATATGGAATTATTTGCATGATACTTTTTTTTCTGGAAACACTTGTCCTAGTACTGAGTGGTAAGTGAAAGTATTAACAAATTTATCAACTTATATTTACACCTTCTTTAATTAAATGAAAATATGTGTAAATTTATATAGTCTTTTAAATATCTATTGTATGTCAAGCAATAACAAAACCAACTATCTAGCTTTGAAACATTTAGATAAATAAAACTCACCACTCCAGATAAGAGATGTGCAAAATATCTTTGAGCTTCAGGTTGAGGCATTCCGATATCAGGCTCTATAGAAAAATAGATTTACATGAAATAAGTTACAATTAATAACACAGGCCTGTGATGGTTTTATTGTCTTGAAATTTTTACATGTTCTACAGTAATTCGCATATGCTAAGTCTGAAAACGATATATATTTTTCTCCATCACGTACAGATTTTTCACAAAATGTCTTAATGCAATACATAAAAGATAGGCCACAACACATAGTTTGAGATTAAAAGACGTAGATTTCACAAAAAAAAATCAGGATGAATGAGGATGCATATTTGTTTGACGTCAATGTTCTTCCCTTTTCTTCGATTTGTTTGTATTTTTGTTAACAAACATAATAATAAAAAATGTTCACTGTGGTAAACGAAATAATAATTTTCTCTAAGTAAGAATTTGTTTTTTTTTCCGACTTGTAAAAAATCTTTATGTGATAGAAAAAATTAATAGTATTTTCAAAATCTATATAGCTGAATTATGGAAAATCTGTTATTAAAACCAAAACAACTTTTATGAAGTTTAAAATTACAGGATTGTGTAATCAATCAATTTTAAGCCTTCATTAATAAAGTACCATACGATTAAAATGAAATGACTCTGCCTTGCACTGGCCATCAACACCAGCCACAACTAACCAAACTTTAAGTATAAACAATACAAAAGATGACTTAGCTCTCTTTAACATTAAAAAAAAGTTATTGATAATAAAATATAAGAGCTTCCACCATTCATACTATAGGTACATGATATCATTCATTTTTATAGCATTATAGGTCTGAACTTGCAAACTTGGAAAAATTGCATGGTTGGACACTTGAAACAAACGTACAAGTATCTTACTTCCATATGGCCATGTGTCTTACCATTCTAAACCAACCGTATCTTAAATAAAACACCTAATATGATATTCAGATCCACTGATAACCATCAGATAAGTTCAAAAGTAGCCACTAAATGGAGATTTTAAAAATTTTGCACAGAGATAAAAATCAAATATGAACAGCAAAGGAATGAAACACGTACAAGTGAAGAAGTTAATAACATTTTTATTTACAAAAATTGTGTAAGTCATTAAACTTACTTTGACTCTTACTGGCTTTAGTGTAAGAGGCTTTCCTACACTCATTCATGCAGGACAAAGACAAGAGGAATTCTTATTTCTCACCCAAAATTAAACAAAAACATAAAAAATGCAGTATATCCTCTTTACTTAAATGAAAATATGTGTAAATATTTAAATCCCAGTAAATATATGTTGTCCATCAAGTATTGCATTCGTAACTATTCCAGATAACATTTATAAAAGAGAAAATCCTCTAACTCATACCACTTTGTACAAGTACCTATGGCACCCCTAGAGATAGGCTCACTCCAATCCAGGTGAGATCAGACACAGGGACAAAATGATACGAGTTTCTGTCCAGTATTATACCTAATCTTTACCGAAATAAATGGATTAAGACATGTTTACAACCTTTCAACACTCAGTTAAAAAGAATGTCATAGCTACATGCAAAAAACCTGCACAACAATTTGACAATTTTAACTGAATATATCCGACTAAAAGATATAATCTAAACCAGTTATAGAAGAATGAAATTCATGGTTATTACAATCATTACACTAATATCCTTAGAGTATCACAGGCGTGCACGTTATCCATTTATGTACTTTAATAGTTATATGGTAGGTATGCAAACATGTCATTAGTAGAAATATTTAATCATGAGATGAATACACACATGTACATCACTGTGTAATTTTAGATTTAAAAAAAATAACAATGTGAAGAAATAAGTTATATAATCTGCATATTAAGATCATTATTGTAAGGTAAAATGTATGTGAATGATGTTGAGTCCACTATTTAAAAATGTGTGTGAGAAAGAGTATTGTAAATGTGATTCGTTAAATCAACCCTACACTGGAAAAACAACATAAGACTGTCTTTGAACACTCATAAGTTTAATATAGAAGTGTAGCAGAGGAGAGTCTATTGACAAGTTGCCTACCCAGTAGTAATTTGTGAATCAGTGCCAGATTTACCATGAGGCAGATGAGGTAACTGCTTCAGGACTTCCACAGTTTAGGGGCCCCCACAAAGTTTTTCTTTGTTTAATATTAATATTATGAAATGTAAACAATTAGGCTAAAGTGATTTATATTTCTATAGTTCTAAATGTTCAATTATAGGTGTATTCCACCCGCATGGCTTGAAATAGAATATAAATTATTACAAATTATTAAATATAGAAAACAAGTGTAATTATTGTAAATATAATAATCCATACAGGTGTCAGCTTGTCTTATTGGCAACATTGCTCCAGGAGCTCCCAGAATTTAATGAACAAGCTGGCAGGTGGCAACTCATCTCCAAATCACCAAACTCATCGACACATGTACATAGGTCCATAGATATATATGCAAAGATATACATAGAAGACATGCAGCTACACAACACAAATACATATGATATATATGCAAGGTGCACACACACAAACACACAAACATGCACAGCAACACACAAGCATACATACACAAAATATACAGAATATTTTTGTATTTTCTATTTTATTATATTATTGATTTTTTATTATTATATACATTACAGAAATGAGTGACTGACACAAAACTCCACAACAACACATTAGTGATACTGAAATGAGGAAATTAGTACATCACCACTCTTTTCTTTCTTTGGTCAACATTGATATAGAAAACTGTTGTGGCCTGTCCTATGACGATGCAACCAACATGAGTGGACGTTATCACAGGATGCAAAGTCTTGTTAGACAAAAATATCCACTGACAGTATTCATTCCATTTTCTGCACATTCGTTAAATCATGTTGGCCAGGTTGTTGTTGAGTTCAGGTAGTGGATTTTTTCAATTTCGTGAAAAGACTTTACACATTTTTTTCAAGATAGCAGGTCATTGGCAACTTTTAAGTGAAAACATCAAATCAGAGGCTTAATGATGCCAAAGGAGTTGCCACAGACTAGATGGTCCACTCATGCAAATGCCACTAATGTATTACAATCTGGCTATGCTGAAATTATGGATGTACTTGAAGATATATCTACTAATGAGGATGAGAAAGGAGAAAATAGAAACAGAGCATCAGGTTTGGTGAACATAATGTGTAAATTGGAAACATGGAATTTCAGAGATCTATGGCACACTATTATTGTAAGATTTGATGTGATTAGCAAGCAACTACAAGACTCCAAGGTAGATCTCAATACAGCTATTGTACTGCTGAAATCATTAGTGGAATTTGTGCAAGTGTTGCGAGGTCATTTTATTGATTTTGTACAATCAGGAATTTAAAAAAGTGGCACATTAGAATACAGTGTACAGCACGAGCGTGTTTGTCATAGTAATGTCAGATTAGATCCATTAGATTATGGTAAAGAAGTACAACAGAGCCCAAAAGACCACTTCAGAACCTCCAATTTCATACACATCATCAATTGTCTTGTGCAAGAACTTGTATAGAGAATTGAGGCTTATTCTCATGTGGCTGAATATTTGGGTTTCTTGGATGATCTAGTTTCTCAAACTGATGATAAAATTCAGGAAATGTTAGATAGATTACTGGAACTTTATTCTGATGATCTGGAATGGTGTCTCAGTAATAAACTTGTTCCATTTAGAAAGGTTGTGGACTTAATTTTTAGAGGAAAGGAATGATCATAGTGATATCAGTAATGCTCATTTCATGTATCTCCTTATTCATAAGAAAAATCGCAAATCATCCTTTCTAAACGTTGAAATTCTTCTTTGGATTTATCTGTCACTCATGATATCCAACTGTTCAAGTGAATGGTGTTTCTCTAAGCTGATATACATATATCAAAAATGATCTGCACACAACAATGACTCAAAAACGAATGAATTGTCTTTCTTTAATATGTATTGAAAGTGATATACTTCGTAGCCTTGATTTTTCAGATATACTGAATGAATTTACCAATTCAAAAGAAGGAAAATCTTACATTTAAGTCTGTTTATTTTATTTTTCTGTTGTAATATGTATAATAAAATATACAAATATGACTTTTTGTTTTCCAAAATATTATGAGCTTGAACAGGGTTAAGGGCCTCCACGGGTCTAAATCCAGCCCTGCTGTGAATGCAAATAAAAACATAGGTGATAACTACTATTACCTATTGAAAGCAGAATAGAAAACTGATGATCAGAATTACTTATCAACTTATAATTTTCTTTTGCTATAGTGGCTATAGCAGCTACGATATTCCAATATCGATCATCATTTGAGGTCTGTAACAGTGAACTAAATGATAAAAGGATTCAGTGCCAGTATTCAAATATATATTTGAATATATCATTTCTTATCATATATATCATTTCTTATATATATATGATAAGAAATGATTAAAATCAGCCAGCCACTAACTGAATAACCATAATAAAGTTTTCAAACAGTAATTACTCTCAAACCATCAAAAAGTTTTCAAATGGAATTTTTTTTTTAAAACAAAATAAGCCCACATCTAGTTGTGCTATTCAAAAGTGAACTTTTACCACCACAAGATTAGATATGAGTTTGCATCAAACCAAATCATTCATCAGAAATGTCAGAGGATCATGCACACTACAGCAGTCTTTTTCCATTTTGTCATGATCTACATCCAAATTTTTACAAAACAAAACTGTTTCATTATGTTTGAAGAGTATGAGAATCATTAATTGGGCTACATGGATGATAGACATAGATATAAATTTTGTTTATTACTTATAAATACACTTACCTTAATATTATCTTCAAATTATAATTAACACTTACATTTGAATAATACCAGAAGATATGAAATAATTATCAAGCCACAATTTCTGTGCTTGAAAGAGAATTGAAACCAAAACTTGAAAAATGTAGGTGGTTTTTCACTCCCTGCATTGATGAGTGTTGTATTATTATTATTTGAATATGATGTTCACTACAGTAAGGTTAGTGAATTGGGCACATATGGTGCTAGAGTAACTACTAGACAGAGGAGAAAAATAACTACACTATATACCCAAAATAACAATTGACTGATATCTATCCACTGCAGAGAACAAAGGTTAACATTGGCTAAACGTCAAGCAGACAACAGATAGTTGCTTATCATTATATATATAGCAAATGATTTAAATGTTTTAAAATAATCGTGCCTTTGTTTTCAAAAATCAAAAACTAAATTTAGAACTTATAATTACTCAAGTATAGCCTTGCTGCAAGTAACTGAAAAAATCTGCATAATACGAGCATACACATTGAGTTTTTTTAAAGTATCATAAGAAGATCTAATCACTGAGTTTCAGTATGTTGTTGATACTGATCATTGCAAATGTAAATATTTTAACTTCTGGAAATCCTAGGTACTAAAAAGGAATTATTTCAAAAGTGGCAAGTGGTGAAAAAAAGAAATTAAATACCACATGCAGACACATGCCATTACAAGAGACTGCCATTTTTTCCCACCTAAATGACCTATGTATTATAATGAGATGTCTCTGTTACAAATGAGCACTACAGATTGTGAGAGAGATTATTTTGTTAAACCAGTTTAAGACTTACTTGAAAAATAAAGCTTCAATGAAAACTTAATAGATTAACACTATTCAATATAGAAAATTTCAATGTGCTTTATTCGCACTGAATAACTGACTATCTATAAGTTAAAAATTAAGATTGGCATACAAAAGTTCCATTGCTTCTGTCTAACTTGTTATTGATCAAAGGCAAATGTTTGCCAGTTACTTTTTAAAAAAGAGAGAGAAAAAAAAATTCAGGAGTTATGTGCTCTAAGCAGATATAACTAGCCAGCTACATGTGAATTTCCAGGGACTGTTGAATTTTTGATTTCATATTTGTTAATATATTATCAACTCTCATATCTATGTTTAAGGTAATTAATTTCCTATATTAAAACACCAACAAATATATATATATATTATAATAAAAGTAAAAAATTGCTGTTTTTACTTGCTATTATTTTAAATCTGGGATATCCTATTGAAAGATGCAAAACAAGCTACCAGAGAAGGCTCACTAATCGATTACCAGTATGATTTTCCAATAAATTTTGTTCTCACAGCACGCTTTTAAAAAAAAACATTTTACTACTGTTCATAATTGGTCTGAATATTCATAATCATGCTTTGATGTTCAACTGTGAAAACACTGCCAGTTCCCCTTGATGGTCACTGGCTAAACACTAGAACCCACTGTGCTTTAGCCAGGTAGCTGCCAGTAATTTACAGCCCTGAAAATTACATATATTTTGTACATAGATTATTATTATTATTATTTTTTGTTTATAAGTGAAGTTCTGTTTAGCTAAAAAAATCTAATATTTTTAACCACAGCTGAGTGGCTCATAGAACAGCTGAGGTTTTTTGTTGTTTTTTTCAAATACAAACTTTTTCACTTCTCAGTATTTTTTATTACTAATTACTATTTCCATTTATAAATAGTTGTTCCATATTCAATACAAACCCATATTTTGTATTTTGTTTATAGTATACATAGTAGAAGCACAAAGTAAAAATAAGTAATTATCCAATAGTTTCTTACAAATGATACTGATTGGCTCAATTTTTCTAAGTGGACATAATAACTTACAATAAAGTAATAATTGTAATAGTCACAGTAATAATTGTCACAGTTTTATGTTCATCTGATTTTTGATACTTTTACAGTATGTTATCACTGCCAACTGAATAGAAGTAAGCTTGAGAAAATCTTTCAACCAAACATCTCTATGTCAAAAAATACTTGGGTCCACACAATTGTATACTACTAAAAAACTTACAATTAATACATCTGACCAATATTGTAGAGAAACATTACTATCATCAGAAATACAAGTGTTCATGTTGATTTTTTTCATCTAAATTTTTTTTTAATTGATTCCTTAACAGAATAATTAATTGCAAACTGTGTAATTTTAGTATGATACTTTTATATGACTACTTCTACTACCAAAGAAAAATACTTAGGTAGGTTAATTTCCAGACATGAGATAAATAACAGTTTTTTTGTCAAATGATTAATTTTCAATCTCTTTACTTTCTATTAATAATATCCTGACATTTTTAAAAGAATGCTTAAATTAAATTATATGTAATTTTTATTTTTCCACATAAGCAATTCACGTTAGTTACAAATAAAACATATCTAATAATGAAAATAATTTTACCTATTGTATCAAAATGTTCATTACTGGTTTATCTATTCTACCAAACAGTTTATTTCAACTCTCAGATATTTTATTAATCAATTCTTTGTAGAGCTTACCTATTCTATCAAAGAGTTCACCTCCTGCAGCATATTCTAGGAAGATATACTGACAAGATCTTTCACTTCGCTGCCCAAAGAATTTGATAATATTTTCATGACTTAACATGCGATGAATACAAATCTATAGACAGAGTAAAGCATATTTCAGTTTCTAAGAACATCAAAATGAGTGTTTAGCACTGAAAGGTGTGTGCTACTTTAAAATAATTTTGTTTGACCTAATGTATGTCTAAAACTCATGGGGTAACTTTCTGCATTTCAAATAAGCACGAAAGAATATATGTATATGTTGGTTTTGTTTTGAAATACATAATCCAAATATACATACCGGCATTTATATGTACTGACTGTGATATGCTAATCAGTTTTTATAGCCTCTACTCAGAACAAATGCTCCAGTAAGAAAGATCTAAAACAAAATAACTATGTCCAGTAGAATAAATGTTTAGATAAAAACACAATACTCAAATCTTCCTAATATCAACTTTTACCTCTTTTCTGACACTTTCTGCAGCATCCTTCCTATTCGAAAGATTCAAAACTTTAACAGCTACTGCTTCCCCTGTCGTTTGGTTTACTAGTAGCTTTACTCTAAACAAAAAGTATAATAGTACCATAATATTAAATTAACACAAATTAGTGATTTTTAATATCACTTTTATATCTTTCTTCACTGTATTAAAATTTTCTAGAATGATGACAAAGATACAAATATTACATACATCATACAAAGGTAACTAGATCACATATTTATCTAAATTTTAAACTGTAATAATACTTTCAACATTTTTTTTCCCTATTAAAAGTACAATCAGCAAGAATTAGAAACATTATACATTATACAATGAATAAAATTTGGGTAGGTTTACTGAATCAACAATTACAGTTTTACATATATATATATATATATAAAGAAATAACTTAAACATTTAATATACAATACTGCTAAGATTAGTATTCTTTTGTTTTTCACATGTACTGGACAAAATAAACTACAGGTCAACAAGTTTTTGGTAAATATTCTGAAGAATCTAAACAATAACTTGCACACTATTAAAGTAACCATCGCCTTCCTAAGGCAAAATCATAAGATATCAAGCTGTCAGACTTGTTTTATAATAGTTAGTAAACTCAAATTTCAGATCATGTTTATTTATTTTACCAGATTTCATTTTCACCACACTGTTAAACATGCAAGTAGTGTGAAGAGTCATGGGTATAAAAATTATGTTAAAAACTTAAATTTACAAAGCAGATATGCCACATACGACATAAGTGGTTTACTCCTAATAGCTTATAACTGTGCTGACTAGATGATAAGATATATTTTTAGAATTCTTAAATATGCAACAACAGTTTGCATTGCAAGAATACAGTTTCACGATGATACCACATAGTATAATATGCAAATATTCAACTACCAATTTTGAAACATACAATTTCTATCATAAAAACTTACTCGCCATAGGCACCTTCACCTAGTGTATGTAGCAGATCCCAGCCTTCTACAAATTCTTTCACCATCTTTAGCACTGGACCTCAAGTTGGTCCAATGGTCTTAGCTGTTAAAAATAAATAAATCCTGTAACAATTTTCAAAACCTCAACAGTACATAGAATGGAGATAAATAATAATAAGCAAAGTAACAATGTTGTTGTGTGATACATTCTCTACCAAATTAAACTTATATTACTCTTCATAAACCAAAACTAATTTAACAGTTGTAATAAAATTAAAATTATCTCTTGGTTCATAGTTCTACAATAAGTTAATCATTTTGTTAATAATATATTAATATGCAGTTAGGGCGTATAATACCATAAACTTACTATTCTATTCTGCTTATAGTTATACTTTAAATTATACAATTATATGAAGATTTATATCAAAGTCGTGAAAGGCACGTGGATGTAGAATGATTATGTTATTTCAATTTGAAAAGAAATTCAAGACATTTATTATGATTTAATAATCAACAATAAACTATAGTTTATAAAGTTAACTACCATTGTACCATTAACACTGAGTAAGTTAAATTTTAAGTAATTATGATATTCGATATGCAGAATAACAAAGAATAATAAAAAGTTACAACTTGCATTCGACAGAGTTTTTATCAACGTTAATGAAGTTACATACCACAATTCCAGCAATTATTACGTCACCAAACAGTGTCACTTCAATTTTTGAACACGCTGTTGAATCATGAGCTTGTATGTATGTCTATGTGCGAAACATGTGACTTTATTTCCCGCCAGACAAATATCTAGTTGTTCTATAGAGGGCGATGTTACACGTATTTAGTAAAAATATTTATTTTTTACAAAAGTAAAACTCAGGAAAAAAACATTGTATACATCACACTCACTTTCACAAAACCACCTGACTGAAAAAAACCTTAGAGAGATAAAATATACAAAAATACTATATTTTATTTCATGCAGCTATTACATTGTCTTCAAATATTTGTACTTATTCGTGGTTGAAGCGTGAAATAAACTAGTAATATACAAATTCGCCTCATTCAAGTGGAAACTTACTGTAATTTGAAGGTTTAATTTATCCAAATTTCTTTCAAATTTGAAAGACTATGTCTTTTCGTGAAACTCTAGAATCTAGGCATTAAAAAATCAATTAAAGTTGTTCTGAAGAGAAAAATTACAGTAACATTTTTCTGGAATTCTAGTATGCATGAATAACACATGGAGAAGCCAAAGAACTATTCTTTCGAACCGAAAATTTAACCTCTGATAACAGAACGGAAAATTATTTTTATTTTTCTATAGTGCATTTTAATTTTAAAGTATATTATTATGGAATTTATATTCTCGTTGATATATTTTCGCAGCATATAGTATTAGATATCATACTTGTGCACTTTGTTTAAGACGTCATCCGGTGGGTCAGCGATAAGTTTACGGATTTACAAAGCAAAATCCGGGTCTACATTTTCCGTGGTAGACACAGCAGATAGCCAAATGTGGCTTTGAGCAAAACTACACACATACAAACAAACTTATTTGGCACCTCCATTAATTAAATAAGGCATTTGCTATTTATCAAATTTTTCGTCACACTGAGCGACAGATGGACTACATGGCCAGGTAAAAGAGACTCCTGAGTTCAAGCATAGCCACTCATAACTTGAAACTGTTGATCAGAGGTAGTGCGGCCTGTTAGTAACATCCATTGTCTAGAAGTCTACTGTTAGATAAAACGTAATCCATAAGAGACCATTGAGTCAACTATATGAACTTTTTAACATAAAAATGAACAAAAAAAAGAAGCCACTACTATTATTTATACAAATATTTCATGTATTTCACAGCGCATCTAAGCAACAATAATTGCTTATTGGAATTACTGACCTATAAATAATAATGCTAGGCTAATCAGCTAACTTTTGGGTTGCAAACCGATAGCTCGCTAATACTTGAGTGAGCACACACACACACACACAAAAATGCTTGAAACAAATCTCATATTCACACTAACGATATTTTCCTCTCTCTTTCTTTTGTTCTCGTGAGTTGTACAAAATTTTCTTGTTATTCTATTTGCATTTGTAAGTAATTGCCGGTCACATGAAGGATATAATGGTGGGATTCAGAGTATTTTTCGTTGATGGTTGTCAACTTACTTTGAATAATGAATCTTATGGAAAAAGCGCAGTTGCAAATAAGTTGTTAGTGAAGTCCAGGCATAATGGCTGAGATATTTATAAATTTAACCATTCCACGACTACTTTATAACGTAATTGTGTCAGATGTATTCAGGTACTTTTGACCAACCTCATATAGAGTTATGTTAGAGAAAATAAAATATAAAATAAAACGTTTTTACTGTTTATTTAGGAGGTTTTAGACGTTGCATAAATGAAATTTAGAATTTTTCAGATGAAAAAAATATTTAAATCTTAACATGAAAATCACTTTGCACTCAGAGCAGTCAACAATGTTATCTTCATATATTTATAGATAAATTAAGTGATCTTTCAAGCCCTCCAAGTGGCAAGTGCCGAAAGATTAGACTTTAGAGGAAAGTGGATCTCTAATTCCGTCTAGGAGATGTCTCCCACAAAACAAAAACTTCATTTTCGACCTCAGGACGAGAATTGAAAGCTTCAGGTTGGACATATTGTGAAGTTTGTCTGTAAGTTTTGCCTGTGCGAATGGTGAGCTGATGTTCTATGGAACAGCTACCTAATGCTACCCAGATGAAACCGAGGAACATTAGATTGCAGAAATGTATGTAGTGAAGGGAATAACAGTACCTACACTGAGTGGTCACAAGTAAATATACAACTAATTTTTCGTCATTTAACTGATTTATGTTAACTAATTTGTGTTCACAGAGCATTATATAAATGAAAATGGTCCGCACACTAATTATCTTGTGCTACAACATGCCTAGAACTCAAGGTTCTCTCGAATTGTCAGATTTTGTTAGAGGAAGGATAATTGGTCAAGCAGATGGTGAAATAAGTCAGCGGGAAATTTCGCAGAATTTGGGAATCCCTCTTTCGACAGTCAACAGAATCATCGTGCAGTTCAGGAAACACGGCAAGGAAACAACTGAGCAGCGTTCGGGTCGTCCTGGTCCATCGGAGAGGACAAAAAGGGCTGTCAAGAGGAGCATCGAAATGTATCCCAGATGAACGACTGCAGAAGTGGCCAAAGTTGGTGGGATGAGCCCGAAATCTGTTCAACAGATTCTCCACAGATTGGGTTATCATTGCAGAGCAGCTAGACGAAATACCTTATTAAGACCTGTCAAAATAGTCAGACAAAAGAAGTGGGCAAGTGATATGATGACCAAGCCTCTGGACTTTTG